CCATTGCTTTCTTTTTTTAATTTCCTTAAATCATAATGTGAGAAAATATTAAAATTATGTATTAAAACCCTAAACTAGCTTAGGTTACTTCAGTTTACTGTTATGTAAGACAGCTAATCATGAGGAGACGATGGAACTGGGTTATGTTGGGCATTTTTTCTTTGAAATATGCTAATCAAATTTGTTTTTGGTTAGCTGCCTATGAACTAATCATAACTGAACAAAAATAACTAAAGTTGCTTTAAGTGTTACTGCAGTATTGAGTGTGCAGGCTTAAAAACCAATACAAGAAAGCCTGTAATTCCTGTAGTGGCCACTTGAGGCCAAGTGAGTCATCCCCATCGACTCCGATGTTAAAATGTTCAACTTTACACCATTAAAAGCATTTTTTAAAGCCTGGTACGAAAACGGTTTTAGCTTCTATAAATGACGACTCTTCCAGGTGTATTCTGCAGTTAGGGGGTGGCCAGTTTGTTTGAAAGCTTCAGTTTTGATTAATGACATTGTTTGTTAACCTTGTACTAATTAGTAGATATGTATCTGTGCATTGCACCCTTACAGTTTATGAATACTAGCTTGGCCTGATAACCGAACTACCTAGCTAGCTGATAACCAACAAAACACTTTCATGTCTTTGTCTTGTCTTCCTTCCCTCGCTCCCAAAAAAATGGCAGATGCCACCTCCCTGAGCCTGCTTTTGCCAGAGGTTTCTTCCTGTTAAAAGGGAGTTTTTCCCTCCCAATGTCACTTTCCTACAGAGTTACTTTTGCGAGATCTCGCAAACTTGAGATCTCAAAAGATCATCTTCATTTTTTTTTTCCTCCAATGTTCCTTGCGGGGTTCCCAAATGCCTGCTATTATAATATAATATAATATAATATAATATAATATAATATAATATAAATTGATTTTTGCTTTCTTTTTTAGTTTTTTATTACTTAATTAATTACTTATCTTTTCCATTTTGAGTGAATTTATTTTCACTGTGGGACTAATTAGCTGAGGTTAGGTTTGCTTAGCTTAGCTGTTAAAGGACTAAAAATCCATGATCAGACATAAGATCCACATTGAAATGTGAGTATAGTAGAACAACACACAGATATTTCTTTTATGTGACGTTCTCCCTGATGGCGTTAAGCAGGTGCTGACGGTCCACCTCAAGTTTGTAAACGTGGCCAGGATTGTCCAAGTTTGTGCCAATAGTTGGATGTGTGAAATGGGATGCTAGTGTTTGTCACAGTTTCCTGATAGTTCATAGACTAAATGTTTAATCATGTAACATAATGACAGCAGCATTGATACTGAAATCAATTATTTGTTGGTTTAATTCTGCCTTTTAGCCCTGATGCATGCATAGAGTGTTAAATAGATTTAATCATTCAGGGCTTTGCTGGTATGTATAGTGTGTGTGGATGATTGTCAGTGAAAGGTCAGCGAGTTAATGGGTTAGTAAATCCCCCACCCGGCAGCTTTCACTTCAGCCTGACAGATGGAGGCGTGGCGCTCGCCTCTCAGCTTTGCATGCCCTGCCTGACTAACAGCAGTGCTGCCAGGGCCATCTGTGACCCAAGTCACCCCTTTCTCCCTGGACTCAACCAGCCGCTGCTATCCAGTTGTAAATTCCACTCAGAGTGGGACATTAGCCATGCTGGAGGTCCATCCTCGATCTTCCTGCTTCCCCTCCTGACAGTTGTGTTCTGTCCTCATGTTTCATCATCACCATTAACCTTTGCCCTCACCATCCAGCATATTCACATATTCGTTTTTGTGCCTTTAATTTACTTAACACCTTTACAGAGGTGGTGGTGTTATGAGACAGCTGTAATCCTTGTACCACCTTTTCACAGTTTATTATGACTGCTGCAAAGCCACTGACATTCATCAAAAGAGATGCAAATGACATGAAGATGAGAGGGGAAAAATATAAGGATGCTTCAGAGGTTTTCCTGCATGTGAAAAATGTTGGCACCCACCAAAGACCTTGGCCTTTCACCAAAGAAAAATCACCAGGAATATGATTAAAACATATAAATATAATTTTTTCTGTTTATTAAATAGATAAAAAATAACAGGAATATCCACAGACTTTCATTAAGTATGGTCACATACTCTTTGCTTTAAGCATACGCAGACCAATCTTTGTTAAGTAAGTAGCTGAATGCTCCAGATTCTTGGTTTTCTAAAGCTGTATACAGATCAGTTTTTCCCTCAGTAGGTCTTTTGAAACTGCCTTAACTAAAAAAAAATAGCAGTAAGCATCCTCGACGCTGCAAAATCCATTTATACTTTTTTTTTGTTTCTGCCTTGGTTTGTTGTAAGACACATTAAGACGTTTACTGAGGTTTTGCTTTCACACAGGAAGGTTCATCCATTCATGAGGGAAGCAAAACAGTTTTCTGACTGTAGCGTCGTCAGCAGATTTATTAGCAGTGACGTGTTACGTTAGACTGGATAACTGAAATGGGATCAAGAGCTTCCTGTGTCTGTTTGTTAGGAATAAACGAAAAAATTAAGTCAAAGATGTTTGTGGGACACTTAACTAGCGAGCTGTGGGAAAGCTTCCAGAAACACCATGCATAAATAGACTTCCTGGATCCAGATGAAGTTGTGATTCTTTCTTTGACATCAAGATGATGTCTCCCAGTTTTTCTGTGAAGATGCATTGCTAAACGTCCCATTTTTCTAA